ATATATAGCTGCTTGTATGATAAACAGAAAAAGAACAACATAGCCTGCTTGTGCTTTAAGAAAAACACAAAACACATTTTTCATTGTAATTTAGCTTAATGCCTGAATGGAACAGAAACACATTTTTGAATTGCTTCTATTTTGATTCAGGGATTTTTTTCAGAAAACTGTAGAAACAAAGAGGTGACTAGCTGGGTGTAAAACAGACTAGTGGGTACAAAGAGACCTGTGACAAATATATATTTTTTATCATACATATAATCAATGAGAACAAAGGGACAAAAGCTGCATGGATACAACGTAGTGGAATTGATCCTTTGGATTATTTTCAGCACGTTCATAGTAAGTTCATGTTTTTCTGTAAGTGTAACTTTATGTTTTGTCTTAAGCCTTATTCCCACGGGATAAGAATTATCTGGGGACCCCATGTAATAAATAAATTACCCCCCGACATCTGTGTTTCGGCACGTGTCAAACCCAAGGCCTGTGGGCCAAATGTGGTCCGCCACAACCTTTTATGTGGCACGCAGCAACTTCAGACATATTAATGTCTTAAAATAAGTATATGATCAGAGCCAGCAGTGACTATAAACTACATCTCCCATAATGCATGTAGATCATTTCACCCACAAAATGATCCCACTGCTAGGTGCAGGTGCACAGGGTTCAAAAGTAACTGGAAGATGGTGAAATTTGCTGCATAAATTCTCCATTGTGCTGCATGGTATACAGGTAGATTTCTACTTTTAGGTGATTTACATACAGTACTATGTTATCATTACTACTACTGACTGTGTCTGATATGTTTTATGTTGGTCAAAATTTCTTGTTGTACACTCGAACCCACAGGACTGACTGGATAATGGATTGGTTCCTTGCCTTGTTGGAAAATCTGTTCTTTAGACATGTCTAATTCTGATATTCTCTGCAGCTACTTTATCTATAAAAACAGAGTTTATTCGTTGTAACATCCAGTGTGATAAATGATCATTTTTTCATTGTTTACAAAGATTTAAAAAAAAAAAAGACTTGTGGTGGAAACAGCAGGGGTGAGGACAAGGACCCCTAAATTCTAACGTAAGCATTTTCACGATTAATGAAAAAATAATTAGATTAAATTGCCTTTCTGCAAGAATCTCACCTTTGACGTTACACATTTGAACCGTAGAGGTTAAACATTCAGTCATTTAAATGTTTGAAGCAACTTGTGTTCTCCTGACATTGAGCCTCTCAGTTCAGTGCTGTTACAAAAAAAAAAAAAAAAGACCAGATCCCAAATGGTTCAGATTCTCAGAGACCCCTCAGACCAAAAAGAGGACACGACACTGGTTTGTTTGCTTTGGCTGAATCTTTAAGATAAACTCCCAAGTTGCACATTCATTTGTCTTTGTCAACTTGATTTAGAGAACAAACAAAAATAAAAGCATTCCATGTGACTTCCAGTACTTGAACAATGCAACACTCAGTGTTCTTTACTGAAATGCAGGAAAAAAAATCCTGACTCATGTTCAACTTCTGTTTCAGTCATGTTCAGGGAAACTTATTTAATGTGTAAAGCTGTTGTCTTGGTAGTGAGATCCTTTGTTTGGGTTTTTTATTTGTTTTTCAATATGAAGTATAATTTTGGGTGCTGGTGTAGATCCTCAGTCACTCGGGACATGGTAAATTAAAAAAAGTTAAAAAAACAAAAACACCGGGCTAATTTTGTCTCAGTTTCAAACTGCAGAGTGTTTACAAGCTTTTAAATGTGAGGGAGAGACTCTGTTAAGTCCAGTTGTTTTGTTTTTTTAAACTTTTTTAGATTTATAATTTTGGGCGTAAACCAAAACAAAATTGCCAGAATAATCAAGAAAACAAACTAAAGGAAACTTTCTGTGCATTGCTGCTTTATGAGCAGATATAAAGCCATGGTTTTAACTATATCAGCAACTGGGAAAAAGCCTTTTTGGAGGAGGATATTAAACTCTTTAATCTGCTTAAAATCAGGAAGAAAAGCTATAGCTTTCTAGTCCGCTACTAGTTTATTTTATATTGTAAATACAGATTTAACCCTTTGTGCTCAGAGTGATCAGTCTTGCTGAAACTCAAAGGGCTAACTGTCATAAGCAGACTGAATTTATCGTTTCTGTGAAATAAAATCGTACTTATTGACGGTTTACAGCAAGTGTCAAACTCAAGGCTCATGGGCCAAATGTGGCCTGCCACTGCCTTTTATGCAGCCCAGGAGAGATCAAAGAGGAAATGATGTTTTAAAATAAGCTGCTTTAAAGCTACATCTGCCATAAAGCATGTGACATCATCCCAGCACGAGGTGGAGGTGCGCAGGGTTCAAAAGTAACCTTTGCCGCAGCAAAGTTGTACTGGGAAGTGGGAATTTCCCACTTACAAGTGGTAGATTTAAGCAGCAATACCCCCCTTTAGTGGGAATTCCCCGTTAAATAGAGAAACAGTTGAGATTTCAAGATAGCAGCTACTCACAACTCAACTGTGAATAAAACTTACTTTTAATAGTAATTCTGTATCCTTTATTTCACATTTAGTCAGTTGTACACGTGGTACTTTTCAGTGTTTATAAGAGAACGCGTTAAAACACTGTTTCTATGCGCAAAATACCACATAGAGAGCTCAGTTATTGTTTGTAAACAAGACGAGGAACGTGACGTTTCATGTTTAGCCGAAGTTGAACATGAAACAAAGTAAATTACAAATTTCAGGTCCACCATAATGGTTCTTGTGTCCCTCAGTAACAATGAGTTAGACACCGTTGCTTTAGAAGAAAAGGAAAGAAACAAAGCAGAAACATGAAAATAGATTTATTTGGAAATATTCCATTCGACTGTATTTACAGCTCATAGTACCAGTATCTGTTTTTGAATCCCAGACTTGTTTCAAACAGTGATTCAATTAAAAAGATTTGATCAAATCTAAAACGGTCTCAGTTCATAGTGTAATATATTGTTTTTTGTTCAATTAGAATTTTTTTAAGCATTTTATTAATGTCATCTCCGTGCTGCACTAAGTAAACGAACAGATTGACCTGTTTAAAAAACAGATAATAAAACAAACCTCTCCCACAGACTGAATGCATGAGATGATGGGTTGGATTCCTGAAACCTTACAGGTTTTAAAGGGATTATATAATCCCCAAGTCCCACAATTACAACATTCAGCTGCACTGTCCTTCCCCTGACCCTGTAAACGTCCAATCTAAGGCCTTGATTCAGGTGCTTTGAACATTCAAACACAAAACAGGCTTGTTGAACAGCTAAAAATTCAGAAATCATCAGGAATTCAGACCAGTTTTTAAAAAACACACAAAGACTAAAATCAAAACATGTCTGCCGACACGTAAACAGGAAAAAATAGTTAAAACGATCCTCTTTAATGCCTTCCTTCGGCTGACCTTCGTAATGTTTTGTTGGCGTGTAACTGTCCTGTGTATCTGCTGTGCAGCGGACACAGATTGTAGTGTAGCACCTCTGTCGGCTCAGCTCGGCTCCCGTGTTTCTGCTGAGTCTCAGGAAAACGTCGCGGTGAGGATGGCCTCCTGCTGCTGGTGATGAAGGGTCCCGATGCCGACAGCCGGGGCGGGCAGGGCCGGCCGACTCACTAATCGGAGCTGACAGGACGCACAGAGGAGACGGGTCGGTTTACCGGACACGAGGCTGTGCTCCAGAGCTTTGTGTTATTTGAAGCTCAGCTTACCTTGCAGGCCAGCTGCTTCTCAAACCTGGGGGCTACAAAAGACCAGGGACCCATGTTCTGAGGCTCCTCCTGACTCCAGATGAACTCTGTGGGGAGAGTTAAAGAAACGACTAAAGTCACGCCGATAAAGATCACAGTGTTAGAGGTGAGTGGATCCTGCAGGATAAACGTTTAAACTGAGGTGATGGATGATTTTAGCTCAATATCTGTAATATTAACAGACATCATAATCTGTCCACTGGTTTTATGAGGCATTTTGTTAGCTCTAAATTTAAATCTGAAACAGTTTTGCTGCGTGTGTTTCCTGGGAACAGAGTTACAAAAAACTGATGTGAAACCAGAAATTTCACAAGAAAAAACATTTCAGAGATCCCTTGACATAAACAGAAAAGCCCTTTGTTATTTTCTGTACATTATTACATTATGGTAAATGGTAAATTTACCATTATTATATCAGTACATCATTATCCCAGACCTGATGCTCAGGAAACTTAAATGAAAAAAAATAAATGAGCTGATTTTGTTTGCTGCATTTGTTGCTTTATCTGCAATAATTAAACTAATGTTTCCCACATTCCTCAGAGAATAAAGCTGAGAGATTCACATTCCAACATATTTCTGCTTTTTGTTACAGAAATGTGACTGTGGCATTAGTATTTATTCTAACTGTCAGTTTATATACAAACAGGAGCTTAAAAATACTAAGAAAATACATCATAATGTATTTACAGTATTTATGAGCTCAAATTTCCTTGAGTAAAGAAAAAACACATTTTAGTCACAATTTTCAATTGTCTGCATTAAGAAAAGACCTTTCAACAATATTATTACACATTATTAATATGTTTTCTTTATAGGCTTGTTTTTGTTTGCATCCTTTTGTCACTTTAGGGTAAAACCCTCCATAATGTGTGAGCTGTTCACCAGAACCTGTTGCCTGAGATCCTGTTGGTAAATTTATCTATTATTCTTATTCTCATTATTTTTCTTATTGTTTTTATTCTTATTTTTATTATCATTAGGTAATCCGTTGAAGAGACAGGAGCTCATCTAGTCAGAAAGATTCTTTCTTGTGTTAAAATGTGAACAACAGGACATAATTTAATCTTAAATCAATTAGAGTAATCAAAATACAAAGCATTCATTTTCTCACATAATCCTGAATAATCTATGTGTCTGTTCAGTAACTAAATGACTGTGGTGGGGTGAAAGATCAGTTTCACAGATAATGTTCATGATATAAATCAAGAAATTCAATTAAACAACATGAAACTGCAGCTGTCAGCAACAATTTGAAAACCTTATCTGTTGAGAAGCACCAGCCTGTTGAAACCATTTAATGATCAGTGCAGAGCACTTCATGAAAATCACCTAAGATCCCTTTAGTGGAAGTGGTCTTAATAAAAATACAATCTGACATGGAGCCACAGTCTGATGAAGCATTGTGGAATTACACCGTGGACAACTTCCTGTGTTCTGTCTTATGAGAGAGGGGACAAAGGGCTCAACATTTCTGTTCCTGGAAGGTCTTGAAGCAAAGACAAGGTTTTAACAAACAGGAGGTCACCTGTGACTTTGACCTTAAAATCAATAAAGATCATCCATGAGGTGTCCAGCTGTGCAGTTTGACATTTCTAAAAAAAAGTCTCATCAGCTCAGAGTCGTCAGACAGGTACCGACAGCATCACACATCAAACGTCTTAGTGTATAAAAATAAAACTTTTCAGATGAGTAAAAGACAAAAAGCCTGTAAGACTTGAGTGGACTGATGTGATCAGGAAGATAATGTAGATAAAGTGATGGAGCTGAAACATGTTTAACATGACTCAACCCCTGAAGCTTCTTTCTACACTTTCAGTTCAACGACAGACGTCTCTTTCAGTTTCCTTGTGTAGAAAAAACAAATTCCCCTCAAATACAAAATGATTCTACTAAAACGAGAGTTATTGAAAAAGTTGAAAGGTCATTTAACCCAACAACCAAACCAGACATTCTGAGATGTTAAACATCATCTCACCCAGGCTTGTAAAAGAAACTCATATCTTTAAAAAGCTGCTCATCTGCAGCAGAGGACTCTGGTCACAAAGAACCAGGCAGACCAGGAAGTGAGGTAAAGTTAACGCCTGCCTTTCAGGGCGGTGTGCAAAACTGAAACTGCCTTCTTTTAAGTGTACGTTTGTCAGTAAAATATCTCATGAACTACTGGACAGACTCTGATGAGACTCAGAAAATTATCACGGCATGTAAAACTAAAACTGCGTAAATACTGAAGTCAATCTAATTAAAGATCAACTAGTCAACATTAGCAGACACAAAAAGGGTTATGACTCAGTTTTACAGATACAGTATTTACCTAAGAGTTGGCGTGGTGGTAGCTGAGAGTCATCCCCAACTACGTGTGGAAAATTATTTTAAAGATTTGACTAAAACAGCCATAACTTTCTTCTTTTTCAACTTAAAAAGAAGATTATATATATA